CATCTGACATAGTTGCATTCCAACAACATTGACATTTTAAAACACTACTTTCCCATTTTAGCTTTCATTACCTACTTACAGTGTAGTACAGTATAGTCCTTTTCATAGTATTTCCATCAATCTTTAACCTGTTTTGAGAATGGGAGGACATAAAAGTCATTGACATAACAGATCTCTAAGCCACCAGTACAAGTGATTCTCAGTGGCTTTTAACAGTTTCAAATTTGAGAGCCCAGGGGAATGGAACTACCCTAAAATATTTTTGAGATAGATTCCTCCTGAGATCTGCTTTTTTTCCCACAGCTGCATTTTCCACCCATTCCTCCAGAGGGCCCCAGAGTTCAGAACAGTTGGGGAGCTGAGCCCACTGGCTTGTACTCTCATAGTACAAGTTCCTCCATAGATAAGGAAAGTTTGCCTAACAAGATTTAATTTTTATTTGTTGAAGGTACTGTCATTCTCTTTTAGAGCTCTCTACTCTTTCCTAGTGCTTTTCTCAGCCCTCAACTTCTATCCAAAGTATAAATGACAATGCTTCTCGGCAGTGGATGGTGATATAAGATACAAGGCTTTCTTTAGTGGGGCCATCTCTAAAATTCTCTGTGCATGTTTATCAGTAAAAACTTTGAGTTTACATTTTCAATAGATAGCTATCCATCTTTGTATAAATTATGTACACATAATTTATATAATATATATACCTTATAAAATGTACCCTCCAAACTGAATCTTAAAGAATGAGCAAAAAAGTTACAAACAGCATTTCTATTTTCTCTCTGTAGTCCAAGAAAGGGCACTTTGGAAGCTACTGCTTTAGAAAATAGCTTTTCCTTGGAAAGAGATTTGGGGGAAAGAGCATAGATATTGATCTTGGTTGTTTTGGCTGCAGCATCTCACTAACACCAATTGTCATCTTGAAGCTTTAGGGAGAGGGGGTTATTCAAGGACAGCAGGACCTGGCAGTTAGTGTGAGAGTGCCTTTATGTGGATGGCTCATTGCCCTGACTGCTGGCATTTTAGTGCGGAATGTACCAGACCTCGTACCAGAGGCAACACCTTAAATCCCCATCTCATGAAGCTAAAATTTTAGGTTTGACTCTGCTGCACAGTGTAGGGGGAAGCTAGGCTGAAGCTGACCAATAGAATTAGCATTGCTCCTGGGCCTGCTACCCAGTTCTCTATCTAACACCCCCAGTCTTATCTATAGTGAGCCATTGTGAGCAAGGAGTTGGAGGAAAAGACCTGGTTGTGAGCATGCATAGTATCAAAAGGGAATTTTTTGGGACAGGTGAAAGTCCTTGTAGTTTTATTGGACTCTACTGAAGATCCTTTCTCTACTCTCTCCCCTCCCCCCAATCCATGCGGCCATAGATTGAATTGAATCCCAATAGCCCAAAATGGGTCCAAATTCTTGCTCCATGGTGACCCAGATAGCATCACAGTGTTATCTACCTGGTAGCTGTCACAAACTTGAGGTGCAAGGGTAATTTTCCGTTTTGGAGAAATTAGAAAATAAACTCCATAACAGGGCTCTCAAACTGTATATAGTGAAAGTTCAGTTTTGTGGTTTTTTTCCAGCCCTTTGCATAGTATGCCTTTTGTCACTCACAACAAAAACGAACTACTGGAAAAATTAATGGAAAGAAAAACAGTTAGACTTTAATTTAGATTTGACAGCTTTTAAAATTTGCTTCGTGAAATCGCTGTAACACTCCTAAATGCTCTCATTTCTGTACTTACTGTGATCCACACTGGCACCGGACCACAGACTATATATTGAGTTTTGATTAAAGTTCCTTTCTGAGTAGTATATGTGCAGATTTGATTTTTTCTGTCACTGAAAATATTTCATTGACTAATTATAATTGAGAACTGTTTTGCACTTGATATGTGTGTATAAATGTGTGTGTGTGTGTATATATATATAATATATATTTTTTTTTTTTTTTTTTGCATATAGGTTTTCCTAGGACTTTAGTTCAGGCTGAAACCCTGGACAAAATCTGTGACCTGGATCTAGTGATCACTTTGAACATTCCATTTGAAACACTTAAAGATCGTCTCAGCCGGCGCTGGATTCATCCTCCCAGTGGAAGAGTATATAACCTGGACTTCAACCCACCTCATGTGCATGTAAGAATATACAAAGTGCTTTAACAAATTGACAGGAGAGGCAAAACATTTCCATTGGAAAGTGAGTGAAGGATATCAAGAGACTATTAAAAAGAGCAAATCTCCAAGGTCAACAAATACTTAAAAAAATTTCTCATTCACTAGGGGTCAAGGAATGCAAATTAAAGTTATTGTTAGTGAGGGATCTTGACTTTAGACATATACAAAGTATTAAGAGTTTGTAAATAACAATATACATTGAATCTTTAAAACTTCATTGAATTCACTTGGGAATATGTGCTATGGAAATGAAAGCCTTAACAACCAGAAAGGAACTAAACCAAATTCTGAAAACAAAATGAGTGTTCACATAGAGGGGTTAATTAAATAAATTTAGAGAACAGCCACATTTGGAATATTATATAGCTGGTAAAATTAGTGGCTTAAGTGGTATACTCTCATGGAGAGGAGTCTAGGTGTTGCTGAATGAGATAAGCAAATGGCAGAATGTCCCATTTCTGTGAAACAGTGACGATTCTTCTTTATATGTATATTTAAATGCGCCCTCTAGCATGTAAGAGCAAGAATAAAGATAGGAAGGCTATATCCCAGGATGGCAAGGTGATTGGGACTGAGAATGACTAAGGAAGTGTGGTCAGATTGGGGTCATGTGAGTGGAGGGAGTCAGGAGGTATAAGGACTAGGGACAGAATAAAAAGGTTGCCCTTAGTAGTTCAAAACAATTTATTTTAAAAGCATTATTCTTTCTGGTAAAGACATGAGTTGGTTCAAACTGGTCAATCTTAACTCCGGTTGTTAGGTAGTAGTTATATACTTGTGTCCTATTGGGTTGATGTTTCTAAAATAGATTAAACTTGAATATACAGTCAGTATTTACTACAGAAAATTACTTCAAGGAGGTAAAGATGACTTCCCAGCTTCTGGGTACCTATAGAGTCTGTCAAATTCCACCAAATTTTTTTCATTTGGTCTAAGTATTAGTCTCCTTATTGAAATATTTTTATAAATGTAAGTTGTTCAAGAATGCCTTCTTAGTGCAAGGGGTTGTGTGAGCACTATGAAGCTATCCGCAGCCACCACAGCATGAGTTCACTCCCCGGCCAGCGAGCTAACCCACATGGCACAGCAGACCTCTCCTGTCTCACCCGCTACTCCCCTCCACAATGTATTTCAGTAGATCTGCCTGTTCTGCTCCCCAGTTTGTCTGTGGTGAATCATCTCACCACCCCCTCACACCTCTTACCTGTACTCCAGCTCTTGTATGCATAAATAAATAAAATAAATCTTATAAGCTGGAGCACAGGCCAGAGATGCAGGGGTTGAGAGGATTCACCAGAGACAGTGGGAAACAGAACAGGCGGACTGACTGAAATACACTGCCGAGAGGAGCAGTGGGTGAGACAGGAGTGGTCTGCCTTGCCATGTTGGTTGCTTCCTGGACAGCCAGGGATTGAACTCATGCTGCAGAGGCCGCAAATTGCTTTATAGTGAGGTGCTTAACCCCCTGCGCCACCAGGAAGGCCCCCTAAAATAAATCTTTAAAAAATTTTTTTTGAGAAGCTTTAATACTGAATACTTTCCAAAGACTTGGTATCTCTAAAAGAACACCTGCAATTACAGAGCTACTTCAAAGACAGCTCAAAGTCTGGGCCAGCTCTTACAGTCTCTGGGGTCCAGCCCCAGGACACAGTTGTTACATTTGTTGGTGCTCTGTTCTGTAAACCACCTCTGAGTTTTGCAGCTATGAGTAAAACAAAGGAGATACCTTCTCCCATCTCCTTCTCTTGTTGTGTCAGGTTGATAGCTGTAATACGTGTGTGACAGCTCAGTGGCTAACCAGTAAATCGTATGTGTAAATTATGTGTCCAAGGTCCTGAGTTGTAATGAATTTTAGTGCATTTCAAGTTTATAGTCAGTTTCTGATTATCCAGTTGAGTTGCCTGACTTTTGACAGGTTTTTTCTTGTGACTACCTCTGGTGGGTAATAGCCATGGCATGGGAGACAAAATTCTTTTTGTGTCCATTTTGCTATTTTCAAACAGGTATGACTCCGAGGAAGTTAAACCATATCGAAAATCAGGTTTTTGTTTTTTTTTTTTTAAACTTTAATTTAAAAATATTCAGATCTCAGAATATTTGATTCTGTGTCATGGATTTATGCCTCTTCTAATTCACCTTTAGAGAAGTCATTATTTGACTTAGTAAAATAACCAAAGGTTAATCTCTGAAATGCTACATGATAGAATTTGAAAACTGACAGAACTAAGACTGAAATTCTCTCAGATTTGTGTTTTGTCCTAAATATCAGTTATTTCTTTCACATATTTTGTTATTTTCCATATTAAGAACTCAGGCCTTAGAAAATGAAGCTGTTTTCAAAAGAGACAATAACAAAAACAAAGAGAAACCCCACCAACTGGGAGAACATTTTTGCACCCAACACTAATGATAAAGGACTGATCACAAAAATCTGCAAAGAGCTGATGAGACTCAGCAACAACAAAGAAAATAATCCAGTCAAAAAATGGGCAGAAGAGCTAAAAAGAAACTTCTCTGAAGAGGAAATGCAAATGGCCAACAGGCATGAAAAAATGTTCAACATCACTTGCCATCAGGGAAATGCAAATCAAAACTACCATGAGATACCATCTTACACCAGTGAGAATGGCACATATTAAAAAAAACTAGCAACAACAAATGCTGGCGAGGGTATGGAGAAAAAGGAACTCTTCTGCACTGTTGGTGGGAGTGCAAACTGGTCCAACCACTGTGGAGAGCTGTGTGGAGATTTCTGGACCTACTAAACATAGAGCTTCCATATGATCCAGCAATTCCACTCCTAGGTATTTACCCAAAGGACACAGAAACATCAATTCCAAAGAACACCTGCACCCCTATGTTTATAGCAGCACTGTTTACAATAGCTAAGCTTTGGAAACAACCCAAATGCCCAAAAATAGATGACTGGATCAAGAAGATGTGGTACATATATACCATGGAATATTACTCAGCATTCAAAAAGATAAACACATGCAATTTGCAGCAACATGGATGGCGCTGGAAGGATCATGCTCAGCGAAATAAGCCAAAAAGAAAAAGAAAAATACCGGATGGTCTCACTCATAGCAGGAATCTAGAAAACTTAAATAAGGGACCAGGAAAATGAATAACTATAAGAAAGTGAAAATCAAAATCAACAAAAACTATGAACCAGAGACACTTTAGGGGGCGGGGGGCGGGAGGGGAGGGATTGGGGTCAGAATGGGGGGGCTGCAATTGTATGGGGAATATAACAATAAAATTTATAAAAAAAATATATATAAATAAAAAAAAAAAAAAAGAAAATGAAGCTGTTTTAAGAGTATCTTGAAGGACCAGAGTGACCTTGTTTCAAGGTTGTTTCTTGTTGGGTGATATTGAATAACATTTAATTTATTTATTTTTAACCTTAAAAGAGACAATTTGTGGAAGTAATCTTTTTAATTCAAATCTAATTAAATTGTGTTTTTACCACTTTTTAAAAAAGAATTATTTATTTGTACAAGAACTGGGGTACAGGCCAGAGGCACGAGAGGGTGACAGAATTCACCAGAGACAGAGTGGGGAGCAGAACAGGCATATATATTAAAATACACTGCTGAGGGGAGCAGCGGGCAGGAGAGGTCTGATGTGCCATGTGGGTATCTCCTTGGCCGGTGGGGAATCAAACCTGTGCTGCAGAGGCTGCTGACAGCTTCACAGCTCTGAACTCAACCCATTGTGCCACCGGGGAGGCCCGTTTTTACCACTTTAAAAAAAGAATAAATTTATATAATTTTTAAAAATTCAGTCTAAAGATTGTGAATTGCAGTTACCATTTATCAACAGGATATGTTTAGGAAGATTTGAGAAGTTCATAAAATATAATGTGAGCTCTCATGAAATAAGGTTGACATGCAGTTAAATAGTGTTCTTTCTTTTTCAATGACCTGACCATTACCATTGTCACCCAGGCTTAATTGATCACATGGTAGGAATCAAAGGTGAATCCAGGACAGTTTTAACCTTTGGATGCCCCAACTGTTGACCCTATTAACAGATTTCTCTGGTATTTCTAGGGGATTGATGACATCACCGGTGAACCATTAATTCAGCAGGAGGATGATAAACCTGAAGCAGTTGCTGCCAGATTAAGACAGTACAAGGATGTGGCAAAGCCAGTCATTGAATTATACAAGTGAGTGTGCTTCAATATCTTCACAGCAGATGGCCAGCTAGAATGGAATGGCACTTTGTGGGAAATTAAGTAAGATAAACCCTAGAAGTCTAGTATACCTCTCCAGAAATCAGATTAAATGTCAGAGTTGTTTGTATGTGGGAGACAAAGTCCAGTATTTTAATGCTGAAACTCTTACAGCATAAGGGATAAAACCAGGGCATCTAAGCTTGGTTGTAAAAGCGAATCTTGACTTTTTCAAAATTTTTCTTGTAAAGTGGCTGAAGTAATGGTTTACGTAATTGCAGATGTAAATGTATCTGTATCTGATTTAGATAAAAAACTAAAGGGACTTTTTTGGCTTTTTTGGCCTCACTCTGGAGGGAGTTTAACAAAGAAAAACTAAAAGTATAAACTACAGATTGCAAACTCCGATGTCTGCAAGGGCTAAACAGGTATCCGGAATGAGTGTCAAACCTGGCAGGGAATGTCACAAGCTGGACAGTTGAGTGAAAGTTGGTCTAGACAGTTCCTGTGCTGCTCCAGGCAATTATCACCACAGGACCACTCAGGCCTGGTATGGCCAGTGACCCCTATTATTAAAGAGAAGTAGAAATCTGACTCTTCATGTGTGAAAAAAAAATGCAATTTTTATATTGGCAACAAATTAAAAAATGTTGTCAGCATGCAAGCTAAGCAAAGCCTGTTTGTGACTACATGCAGGGCAACAGTTCACAATCTCCATCCACTGTGATCTCATGCTGTAGTCCCTAAATAATCTAGTAACCCAGATGTTCCCCATCATATTTATGATATAGTGCAGTGTTCCATGACCTATTGTTGGAAGTAATAGGGTTTTAGAGTATCAAGATTTGTTAGTGATTGGCCTATCATAAATTTATGAGGCTGATTTGTAATTGTTCGTCTAATGTTACTATTTCTTTTAAAGGAGAGAAGGAAAAGTGCCTTCATGGCAAGCTTGCCAGAATTGCAAAAAGCTACAGCTTTATTTAGACATAGCTGGTAGGGGTGTTGACACCATTTGAAGGGGCTGTCTTGGCCCTTAGCATTGTGTGATACAGATCACAACACCATGTTGTATCACACCCAGGATCTTCATGTGCCCTAGTACCATGTTAAAAGGAAAGCTAAAATGCTCTTGTTTACTGGACTTTGTTTTTCAGGAGCCGAGGAGTGCTCCACCAGTTTTCTGGTACGGAGACCAACAAAATCTGGCCGTATGTTTACACGCTTTTCTCAAACAAGATCACGCCTATTCAGTCCAAAGAAGCATACTGAGCCGGCCCAGCAGAAGAACCAGGAAGATGCCATTCACTCAATTGTACGTGTAGTATCGGTGCCATGTCCCAATTAGAAGCTCTCACTAGCTGCAGTAGCGTGAAGTGGTCTTTTCTAGTTTAAATGATGAACTGATATGAAAACTAATGAGTAGAAAGAGTTGATGAAGAGACTCTTCTGTCTTTCAAAAGAAGGACCACCTACACATGTTTAAGATTTCTCTGCACGTGTGTGAAGCCCTTCTCAGGAAAGCGACACCTGGCTGGATTTCAGACAACATATAACCCAAGCTCTAGCTGAGTTTTGACTTCCAGGGCATGCTTTTTATGCATGATGGTGGTGGTACCTGATTCCCCCCATCTCCCAAAGGCTGTTGAACCTCAGCACCAGAAAGCTGAGAGTCCCAAGGCTGTTGCTTGGGCCTGTCCCAGTTTCTCCAGTATGTGTCCCCTTGGTGACCATGAGATTGAAGCCAGTTGCTCTCAGTGGTTGCATCTCTGGCCGTGAGTGGCTGTGTCCACAATTCATGATTTCTATTCTGTATCCACATTCCACAGAATCTCTCCTTTATGAAAGAATTTGGCTTGTAGACTGTATTTTTTTAAAAATGTTTTTTCCCTCCTGGGCTATTAAATAAAGTAGCTATTTCTGAAAGAAGGTAAGAACTAAGGGGTGATATGGAATCTCTTCATGCACCAGAAACTGAGCTCTGTGGAGGGTCTCACCTTAACTGCTTGTTTGATGCACAGTTAACCCCGCTCTTTTTTTTTTTTTTTTTTTGGTGGAAAAATAAAATCCCCAATGTCTTTTGGTCATCCTCAAAAAAAAAAAAATTGAAAAATTATCAACTATATAAGTATTAAAAGGTCATATTTTATGCATAGAAATAACAAGACTGAATGGAATTAACTGGAGTGTAAGAATAGTTGTGCTTTTTACTCAAGATAAAAAGATGTTTTGAAAATGCTGCTACGTATTGATGCTGACAGTGTTTATCTCCTGTAAGTGACCCAAAGCATATTAGGGAATGAAGCCTGTGGGGTAGAGGGAAATGCTGCACTAACTGTGCCTCATCTGAGTATGACAGCTTTACAATTATGGGAAAACAAGATTCTTTTTTCTATTCCAAAGATGCTTTCTATAGGGTGGTCATTACGTCTAAAGATTTAGATAATACTATCTTGTCACTCATTGTAATATATTACCAATAAACCATGTACTAAGGGTTTACCTGATTTCAGACTTGGTGGCCACTTTGCATAATTTTGCTTTCCTCTGGGACAGACAATGAAATTTATTCCAGTTGCCTTAAAAATAAATATTCCTCTTCATGCATCCCAACTGTCCCCAGGAAGAGTCCTTTGCTATTCCTGGTAGTGACTTCTGCCTAACCGTATTGGGTGACAAAAAGGAGGTTGATTTCAGTATTTTAGTGGCGATGAAACAATGTATTTTATTTTTGCAGTTGTGCTAGTGAATCTCCAGTCAATTCACTGGCATGTGCATTCTGTTGTAGCAAGTGCATCTCCTTATAGATAGTGCCCCAAATCTTGCCAGTTCCTCCTCCTTTGCCCCTTCACATGAATGTTCTTTGACTACTTTAGTGAAAACATATAGGACAGTCTCCTCTTCATCCTCTGAATCGCAGCACAATATAAGACGTTTACTGTTTAGGTTTGTGCAGTTGAAATGCCAAGTCAGTCGATGACACATCAGTGAATGGTGCCACCTTCTGAGTGCTTTACAGGAGTCCTGCTTGAATGCCAGTTGATGGAGATAGAGTGAAAATCAGGTGTGTGGACACAGCTCAGGTTTTCTAGGGAAACAGGTATAATGCTAGGAGAATCGTACAGTATAGAGTAGTACTCTTAGGGTGACAATTTCCATAAGCTAGCAAGGTAAGGTTGTGTCTGCATCATTCAGAAGAAAAAAAAAAAAAAGATGTGCTTTTGGGGGAAAAAAATCTTCAAACCTCTTTGTTCACTTTCCTGAGTGTATAACAGATGTTCCACTGTAATCACTGCCTCCTGGGGCTTTGGGGGTAAGGTTTGGGAAATGGTAAATGGCCTGAATCCAAGTCCCTGCCTAACCTCTTCATTCTTCCCTTTCTTTTCCCTTCTAGCAAAATAGACAGTTATGGCCGACACCAGAGTCACTCAGCATGTCTCACCGGTTTACTTTACCCAATAGTTGAGAGTCCTTTGTTAGATGACACCATTAAGAAACAAAACACCTTTCCTGTGATCTTTGAGGATGATGCTTGTCTCATTTTCTGTGGCTTAAAAAGATCTATTTCTAATGGTTTTCTTTAGCAAACTCCAATTTTCCCTTCAATGATTTTGTTTTCTTGAAAAATTTTGACAAAAGTAAAATTAAAAAGACCTTTCTTTTCTTCTAGAACCCCACATGTGGTTCCTTCAGTTAGTTACACAACAAAAATCGTTTGGGTGATCTCTTAGATTCCAGTCTGTCCTCATGTTCTGTGATTATTGCCAGCTCTGAATTCATTTTATTTTCTATTATCCTAGCAGGAGTCCCACTAACTTAGAATTTGAAACCATAGCTGTGTTTAATACCCTGTAACACGATAAAGACTTAAAATCAGTCCTATTCATTGAAGGCCGACTGAATGATGTGCAGTTTTAGAACAATTCTAAGCATTTATTCTTTCAAACATCCTTCGAGATTGGCATGATTCCATATTTATAAACAAAGAAGCCTGGGTCAGAAACTAAAGCATCTTGCCCAGGTGCCTACTGCCAATCAGCAGGGAAACCAGGACTAGTCCAGGTCTTCCTGACTCTGCAAGCTGTGTTTGCGTGGAAGTTAACTCTCTATGTCCTATGCCAGGCAACCCAGGGCAGGTGCCCGCTGGGCTTGGCTTGAATATCTGAGTGGCCTCACATCAAAAGTAGCTGAGTTCACCATGGGGACATCCAGCCCTGTATGAAACTCCCATTTCCTTTTGCTTAAGCAAAGGAAGCTGCTAGAGGAGCCATCTGAGCCCTAGATCCTCCTCTGCAACTATCATTTAAAATAAAATGAAAGTTCTCAAAATAGGCTGGACTTGGATTCAGGCTCACCAGTGGCAGAAGTAAGCTCATGTTTGTCACCTGGGTGTCCATGGTATTGCACCCTGAAAGGACTTTTCCCCTTGACTTCCACCAGCCGGGATGCTCACACATAGGCCTGGGCTCCTGAGAGCTTTCCAAACACTGTTCACTTTTCTTCTCTGAGATCAGAACAATTTGTTCCCCCTCTCCCACTCCCGAACATAATAAATGGCTCTCATCATGAATTGGTCCTCTGTAATAGGTGAACAAATGAGATTGAGCACCTAATACAGGATAAGCTGTGACTTGTGTCCCAGCTCCCTAAATGAGTGCCAATTCAGGCCTGTCCACCACGTGATAGGGTGGCACTGCTTTTGTCGCCATATCGTTCTGACTGCAGCTGATCTTCCTATCTGATCCTCCTTCCCCAGTGTATACCCTTCTGTCCACCATAATGCAGCAGTTACATTCTCATGAGCTTCTACCTCTCCCACTGGGAGGAAAGGTAAAAAGTAAGAGTCATGGGTGAGGGGAGTTTTTGGAGAGAGGTACTACTGTGGCTTCTCCTGCCATGTTATACAATATTGACACAAGACGATTTTAAATAGAAAGACACTTGGGTAAACCCACAGATAGGAATTTTATAAAATTTGTTTCCCTGGAGCCTAAGTTTAATATTTAACATCAAATATTTCACTGTCTAAAGAGTTTCCAACCTTCTGGGGATCTTCACTCAGATCACAAAGACCACATGTTTCTACATGTATTAAGATACAGGCACTCTTGGTAGTAATTGTTTACTGGTACTTCATGCTGAGCACATTACATGCATTGTCTAATTCAATCCTGAGCAATTAGCCTATGTAATATTATCTCAATGATCTGCCTTCCTTGTATTTAAAAACTGAAATAATCCCATTTACTGAAACTTGTTTTTTCATGTACCTACAGGGATTAGTCAGGATATTCAAAAGGGCCTTTGCTGTACCTTTTCTTAGTTTGAGTTCCCCATTCTGTCAGCAGGAAGGACCATGTGTCTGCCCCCTACCTGAAACCTTTGCTTTTGGCACTCTCATGCTGACACAGGAACTGGGCACTTGGTGGGTGTGGGTGGTAGTTGCACACTGAATATACAGAGGCCACCAGTCTCTTCTGTCCTCAGGTTGGGTAATGGGATTTCGGGAGGCATTTCATCTACCTGATGAATTTCATGTATTAGTTTTCACTGAACAGACACCATCGTTTCTTGTTAGAGTTAATTTTGCCAGAAAGGTCATTCGCAAGACAGAGTTGTGTTTATAGTATGAAATGCTTTTTCTCTATTCCCCTCTATTTGTAGTAATTCTTTTATACATTTGGTGTCTGAAAAGGACCCAGTAATAATAGATAATTCTTTTCACATAGGAATGTGGCCTGGTTGTAAGTTATCATCCCTTTCCTTTTATAACTGACCCAGTCTGGTTTCCAGATGAGAAATGTGCAAAACCCAGATGTTGGGGAGACCTGAAACCACATTTCAACTCTGAAGAAAAATCTGTTTCCTGCATCTGTTGAGACATAAGTACAGTTTATATGCCATACCTTATCTTTTAACAAATGGTAGGATTCATTGACAAAATAGATGCCATTATCTAAATACTTCAGGGAATCCCCCAATTTGAAGAGAGAGAGAGAGCAGAGAAACATTTTTGAAAGGGAGAAAGGTCCTGTATGTGTCGAAATACATTCCTTCCTTGGTAATAACTAGGACACCCAGTGTCATTCTTGAAATAAAAGGTTTCCTCCTTAAAACTTTTCAAAGGAGCAGCACACTTGTGAAGATTCTCCCAAGGTCTGGTGTGTGTCTAATTTCATTTTAAAAAACCTTTCTTCATTTTCAAGTTTTGGCTGTAAATTTAGAAATGTACCAAATGATAGCAAACTTTTTTGGTATTTAATATAGAGAAGAGTGAAAAGGCAAAGTGAAAACAATCTTTAAGTTCCAAGGAGTCAGGGCTTAGAGGACTTTTCTAGTTTTATGAGAATTTGTACTACTGATTTTTATATATTGTTGAGATGAACAGATCTTGGGAAATGTTGAGTTACAATGGCATTTCACTGTGATTCCCCTTAAGCTCAAATCTGTTCTCTAACCTGATGTCTCTTTGGTTTACTGTCCTGTGAAGTGTCAGCTCTAGTTTTCCAGAATTGTGTGTTTACAATGAATCAGTGCTTTTCTTTAGTGTGAAAGTTGTCAGCCCTCTTGATTTTGGTGTACACACTTAATTCAAAGTATCAAAAACTGTAGTCTGATCTGTTATATGTTTTCCTCTTAAGTGTTTCATCTATTATTTTATCTTGCTTGAAGATTGAGTCATACTTTTTAATTTGATGGAAATAAAGTCTTTTTCTGCTTCTAACTAGTGAGTTCATTTTAGCATTGTATATATTTTTTACTCTTGTCAAGCATACAACCTTACAGATACTGCGTTTATTCCTCCCTGTAACCATTATACTGTCAATGGTTTATCTCCAACTCACAGCCGGCCATGGGGGTGGAACAGAGAGCATGGTGTTGCCTGGATAGATAAGGGGACAGTTGGTTTCAGAGCAAGATCCTGATCCCAGGAGTTATGACCCCAGTTTTTAAAAATTTTTTATTTTGCTTAGAACTGGAGTGTAGGCCATAGGTGCCGGGGGTGAGAGGATTCACCAGAGACAGAGTGGGGAGCAGAACAGGTGAATCTACTGAAATACATTGCTGAGGGGAGCAGCTGGCAAGACAGGAGAGGTCTGCTGCACCATATGTGGGTTAGTTCCCTGACCAGAGATAGAACTCAGTGTGTGGTGGTGATGGTACTGAGATTTAACCCCTGGGCCACTAGGGAGGCCACCCTGATTCTTTTATTTCCTGTTAGATTATGTTGCTTCATTTTGTGTACCCTCAAATTCCTAATTTATACTAGCACTACAATCATCACAGATTTTTTTAAAGATTTATTTATGCATACAAGAGCTGGGGTACAGGCCAGAAATGCAGAGGGTGAGAGGACTCACCAGAGACAGAGTGGGAACAGAACAGGCAGAGTGACTGAAATACACTGCTGAGGGGAGCAGCGGGCAAGACAGGAGAGGTCTGCTGCGCCATGTGGGTTTCTCCCTGGCCAGTGGGGATAAAAACTCGTGCTGCAGAGGCTGTGGATTACCTCATAGTGCAGTGCTTAACCCCTTGTGCCACCCAGTCATCACAGATTTTTATGAACATTCTTTAATTTTATTTTTGAAACAACTGGATAATGTGAGCAGATTTGCTCCCTATTTTTCAAATTAGGAGACTGAATCTACCTATCATTGCCAGTGTCGGGTTAATCAGCAAAAGCAGGAACCCCCCAGGCCTATCTGGTGGGAGCTAGAGCAATGAAGGAAAAACAACTTCTGTAGGAGAAACCTCCTGCTGGAAGGTGACCTGGATATGATGGCGATGCAGTGGATAATACTGAAGTTTCTGGAGATTTTGCATCTCTGCCCCACTGGCTTTGTTCTTGGGCATATGCTTTGCTTTTGTCACAGACAAAATGTTTTTGAGCAGAAGCCTTAGGAGTCAGGACATGGTCACAAACCTCTTTTCTCCTGCAGTGAGACTAGCAGTGTCTTCTTGCTTTTTCTTTCAACCTGAATCCTAAAATGAAGATACAGAGCAGGGATACAGCCAGCCCATGATGAATGAGTAATATGCATGAAAATAATCTTTGCTTATATGAGGCACTAAAGTTTGGTACCACAGCACAATTTGGCCCAAGCTGACTTATAGAAATGGGCCCAAGACTAGTATGTCATATCCAGTGATAGCTTTGTTTCTTTTACCAAGCACTTTTAGGGCCTGGGGATGCAAAGATGAATAATATCCAGCTTTTGCCTTGACTTCCTCACAGTCTCCTTGAGGGGGTGGACATATGATTAGATAACTCCACCCGTAACGGTTGGAATTAATCACTGGATTTTATTTGAGAGAACACAAAGGGAATGACTTGCTTGATCATGGCAAAGCAAATCTCTCAGTTTGAGTGATGCAGGAGAGTGGGAGGGCCAGCTGGGGGGGATGGTATGTGGGCAGATTGTGAGCATGTATGCCTTGTGAAGGCCAGAGGTAGGACTGGAGTAATAGAGATAAATTTGAGTTGTACTAGGAGGTTGTACTGACCTTGTCTTAACTTTTTCATGATAGATGGTAGAGGCTCTGCTAGAAAGTGGCTCATCTGATTAGCATTCTAAAATTGTAATTATAGATCTAAACTCACATGTGGTAGTAGAGCACAAGGAAGGATGATTGGGTTATAACAGGAGTAAAAGAGTTGAATGCCTCCAAGGGAGAAGTCTGGAATAGAAACATGAATTGGGGATAAGTGAGCAGTGGGAGTGGTGGGGACTGTGTACACTGCTTTTTCTTTTTTTGTTTTAAAAGATTTATTTATTGACTCCACACACCCCCCCTCGGAGCAAGTGCGCTTGCGCCGCTCGCTTGAGCCGAGTCGGGAAATGGCCGCGCGGTCCCTGTGGGCGGGCCGGCGGCGGTTGCAGCGCCTCCTGGCCTGGAGTGCCGCCTCTGACGGCAGATGGATGCGTCCTTTCAGCACTGCCACCCAGAGAACCACTGGCGAGGACTGCAGTTCCGAGGACCCTCCTGATGAGCTTGGGCCCTCTCTTGCAGAAAGAGCCTTAAAGCTAAAAGCTGTTAAACTGGAGAAGGAAGTCCAGGATTTAACAGTGAGATACCAAAGAGCTGTAGCTGATGGTGAAAACATAAGAAGGCGAACCCAGAGATGTGTAGA